TATACTCCTAATCAAACCTGTTTATTAACATAGCTGTAATAATTACGTAGTTAATGTTTAGTTTCTATCTTTTTTAGGTCACTTGCTTTTTCAGAAGTTAAAAAGAGTTATATAAATAAGAATTTATTGGTTTTGTGTAAGAATATTTTATCTTGGTTATGGAATACAGATAATCAAGGGAAAAAAGCTGTAGTTCAAGTTGGAGAGGATCCACAACAAGAAAGGTAGATATTAACACTGTAATCAGTGGTTGAACTAATCTTGGTAATTAATTTCAGTATGTATATGTTATTTATTTGATATTATGTTAATAATTTTGTTTTTTGTATTAAGAGCTTTGTTAAGCACACTTTAGTCACCTTTTTAAGTCAATTTCCCAATTTTTTTCATTTGATTATATTATAGACTAGCAGTTATAGGAAGTGTTATCTGTTTTGTTATATTAACCTTCAGGATATGGATAGGTTAAAGTGTACATTTGATTATATTATAGACTAGCAGTTATAGGAAGTGTTATCTGTTTTGTTATATTAACCTTCAGGATATGGATAGGTTAAAGTGTACATTTGATTATATTATAGACTAGCAGTTATAGGAAGTGTTATCTGTTTTGTTATATTAACCTTCAGGATATGGATAGGTTAAAGTGTACATATCATGACCTTTTTTATAGAGTTCCAGTCAGATTTAAATTAAACTACTTTATTATCGATGTATGTCAGTAAATTTGGCATCAAATCATAGTTTATAGTTAAAATTTTAATATCATGTATGTTTTAATTTCAAAAGGAAATATTTAAATAATATTTCTGTCTTTACTTTTATGTATCACACGATACTTCTATAATGCATATTGTGCATTTTAGAATTTTTTTTCCATCCCTATATTATTTTTTAAGTTTCAGGAATTTATACCTTTATATTTTAGATGTCATCAAGCTAAAATGGAAATTTATAGTATCTGTCATTCATGTTTTAATGAGTTATATGTCCTAAACTGAAACTTGCATGTCATGCACCTCCTAGCACATACTGTTTTTTAAAAATGTGAATAATTCTCTCTGGCACTTGTTATTGGATTATTTATAATTGGCACAAAGAGACGACTTTAATTTGCTGCTTTCTTTTTGAGGTTAGCTAATTTTCACAATGTATGTTGAGTTATTTTGCTTCAATTTCAGTTTACTATTGCTGAGATTGCTTCAACTATGTAAGAAAATATTTTTACACACATGTAATGTAGTTACAGAGCCAGTTAGACTGTAATAATTTTAGGACATTATTATTTGTTGCATGTTAATATTTTGTGATTTAAGTTACATATTTAAAATAAATAAAAATTAAGTAAAGTACTAGGGTTAACTTTCATTGAGACTTCAAGAGCAAAAAAGATACGAGACCCACATGTAAGTACTAAATTTCTTGTTTTTTATGTATGCTTTTTATTTGTCGTGATGAAAAGTACCTAAAATATAAATATTAGAAACTTATTGGGTTAGATAACAAAATAAGTATTAAATTTCTTGTCATGCATACTTTTATTTATTGTTATAAAAGTAACAAAAATGTAAAAATTAGAAATTTAATAGGTTGGATAAGAAAAATGAAATGAAAAAATAATACTCTATGGCACCAGCAGATCTTGCAAGCACAATATATTTTAATTTGACTGAGCATGTTGGTAATGTGATGCTGTGTTTACACAAAGCTTCTTCACTATGATAATCAGCTTTATTGCTAATCTAAGAAGCAGTAAAACATTAAATCTAAATGGCTGGGAGATTTGAATTGTATAAGGTTTGGCTGTAACAATAAATAATGAATAATTGTGTTTAACAATACGCAGTCATTCTAGAAAGAATAAAGGGTAATGTAGACTTTTTTTGTGTGTGGTAGTTACAAGGTTGATCAAATGTACTAAGCCTGTATACAGTGTTAGGTCAGAGAAAATCATAAGATATAAACTTTTACTGAAAAACATTATATTCACTTAGGAAGTTCTGGAGATTATGCAAATTAAATGTGAAAACTGTAAAATGAAAATCATCTTGCATTCAGAATAGTCAGAGTCTGAGTTTAACTCTATGAATTCACAGGCAAAGCTTTAGAAATACATTTGACTAAAAAGTTGAATTTTTATATAAAAGACTTGTAATTTTTGACTAAAAGCTTGCCAGATTTCATGAAAATACACTTATTACATCAAAATTTGTAGTGTGTATAGTTTCATGGTTGCAAGGCTGGTCAGAATTATCAAGAGAGGGTTAACTGTTAGCACAAGACTATTTAATGACAAGATTAGGGAATGTTATTTTATGTAATAACATATGTAAATTGGGATGTTAACATACATGGCTGCAGATTAGAAGGTTCATGCCACAATGCTGCTGAACATGTCCTGCACTTGCAACTGTGGGTGCATTATAAGAGTGACAATCAATCCTGTTATTCAATTCTGTATAATGTAATGATGGAGCACTTACTGGCTGCCTTCCCATCTGTTCAGTAATTCTAAATTAGGGATGTTTGTGCCCAAAACCCAGGGGTTACTGTCTTGACTTTTTAACTTGTGAGTGTTTGTGCACAAGGAGCAGTGGAAAATTTTGACATGCATTTTATGCCTGTTATTATCTGGAATAATTTATTTAAAATTTTCATTTTTTATACTATTCTGCAGTGATTTAAATCTATTAACATTTTTTAGTTAAAAAAGAAAAGTAGAAAAATTCTCCAAATCATGTGCTTAATGTTCTCGTTACATTGTTATCACTGGAAATTCTGATCTTTGGTAAAGGGTTAAAATTTAAACATCTCTTAACTGTTTTCTTTGAATAAAATTATTTTGATATTTTTACATAGCAAAGACTTTGATCGGACAAGAAAAAAAAAAGAAGAATATTGGGCCAAACATGCGGATGAGGGCAACGAGAAGGGAAGCCACAAGGTTAAAGTAGAAGACCATTTTGATATTTTCATGTTTAAAGATTAAGAATAGCATGTATATTTATATTTTTTCTTTAACCTTCTTAATAAAAATAGATCAAAGTATTCATATTGTAGCTTTTTTACAGAGTTCTGGGGTGGTCAAAATTAAGAGGTCTAGGTGTACAAGGTGTGTAAATGCTTATGAACATGTGTATATATGTTATTACTAGTTACTCATAAGTGGTTGATTTTTAGTTATTTTTCTTAAACATAGAATAGTAAATAAAAAATACATAGAAAAACAATGATTTCTAGTACTTATGATGTTGCAAAATTGATTTATACTCGTGCATCGTACTTGCTAAACCTCGCCATATGTCTTATTTATTCTCTCAAGTGGGGGGAGGGATACAAATTAATTTTTGTAGGTTCCAAAGATGCATTTAGAAAACCAAAAAATTATCAAATTACTATTCTGGTGCACATAAAATCACTGTAATTTATCTGTCTTTCTAACTAAGCTGTAAGTGGGTCAAAAATAATCTCATTTCTGTTCAGAACAATGACTTAGTCAACAGATTTCAACATTTTTGGTAAAGCTCTGACTTTCCATTTCAAGCCAATTACAAATGACTGTCTGATTTACATAGCTTGGAATGTAGTCTTTCTATTGGTTATAAACATGTACTTAAGAAAAGTAGGTGTGAGTAGACAAGAGGTTTCAAAACTATGGAGCAGTGAGAGGGACTACTCTGGTAGGTTTACTAAATATATTGATGTCTCAGCAAATCAAAAAGTTGGAAGGTTCTTATGTTATTTCTTGTCAGTGTCTTAAATCTGAGTTTCTAATTCGTTAATCACTACAGACATATGGTAGGTGTAATACAATATAAATTGACCATTAATACAAGAACACATACCATGTGACTCAACAAAAAAAGGATATTTAGTCTATTTTATTTTTTATATTTTCTTTTGAATTGAGAAATTAAAACGTATATTAAAATTTGAATTATAAACTAAATTGTAATGCCAATTTTATTGACATACCTTGATAATAAAGTTGTTTAATTAAATTATGAAAATAACTAAAATGTCATGATGTGCATTCTTTGACCTGTCTGTAGTGAGAAGGTTAATTGCATATTTGATATAAATATAAATTATTTAATGTCCTAGTCCAAACATTTAGGATATACAATTGTAATTTTCTGTTACAATCTGTAGTCATTCTAGAAATAAAGAAGACTTATTTAATATTTTTTCAGGTAGTTACAAGATCAGTCAAATTGACAAAGTCCATGTAAGATGAGAAATAGTATTTTTAATCTTAACATGAAAATCACCTTTCACTCAGACTAGTCTGAGCCAAACTCTGACTCCATATATTCACAGACAAATATGTAGTAAAAATACTTATTTTAAAAAAACTACCTTTTTTGGGAACAGAAGACTAGTGTTTACTAAAGGCTTGCCAAATTTCGTATAACTTAAATACATTAAAAGTATAGATACTTTCATGGTTATTTTGGTGGTCGCAAGGTTGGTCAAAATGACCCAGCCCTTATTGAGTGAGTTAATAAGAAAATTTATTACCCTAATTTTTTTGTTCATATGCTCACTGATACAAAGTTTTGTGACCGAATATCTATCCACTTATGATTTAAAACTTCAGAAAGTTTAGGAGATTTTCTTTTTTGGGGGGAAAAAAAGTAAAATTAAGTGTTTGTATCAAAACTTTGTATTAAAAATTAATATGAACATATTTATATGGTAGAAAGAAGCTAAGAAGAAAAAGAAAAAGAAACACAAAGAGAAGAAAGCAAAACATAAGCAGCACAAGTGCTCAAAAAGAGCACATGTAAGTACATCCACAGCATCTAGTATCCGGAGCTCTGATGATGAAACTAATGAGAAATTTTGCCAACCTGGTAAACATGTGCAAAAAAAAGAAGTGAGTTGAAACATAATTCATCATAATTAGAGCAGTGAACTTACTTTTTCTTTTCAATAGAACTTTCTTAAAGTGTATTTGTTTGTTTATCTGGTAAAGACATCAGACTAATTTTCTGAAACAGAAAAGAAACAACCTTCAATTTTTAGTTGCATTTTTATCTGTGGATGTTTTGGTTCTGTTTAACACACATTTACAGATTCTAATAATTAAATGAAAATGGAAAATTTTATCATATTTTTGTAAAGAGTGAAGAGTAAGTTCTATAGGGAAAAACTGAGTAAAATTTAAGATCTAATAAAGAAAACCTGAATTACCTTTTTATAGTGTTGATTCAAGATCAGGATAATTTTCAAATACTAGATTGTGCTGTTTTTTTTTTAATAATAATAATACATTTTATATAATACATAATACATGTTTGGTTTTAGATGATGACAAGTATTGAATATCATTAAGACATTGTATCTGTAATTTGATTTTTCAGGTAAAAAGATAAATATGTGGATTGCATGACTTGAAATTTTTCTTTCTTTCTTTCTTGTAGATTTTGCACTTGAGTGCTTGTGATGTATACTCGTAAGAGTAGTTTTATGAGTTATGTCTGAGATTTTTTTAATGCAAGGTAGGAATAGTTTTTACACACTTTCACGACATGTGGAATCCTAGCTGGAATCACATATTTTTGATAACTTGCACAATGTGTAAAATCCCAGAGCCACTGGCTGGAATTTTTTTTTTAACAGCATTGGATTATGTATATTTTTTACAGATCATATTTCTTTTCGTTTTTGAATCTGAAATACATAGGAATGAAAAGATATTGTTAGCTCAGAATACAGAAGATAGTACTCACCTGAATTGTATTCAGATAAATTTTGGCTGACAAGTTATTAATAGAGTTTTATTGCCAAATAATATCTGAAATTAAAGATGAGAAGATATTCGTAATTTCCAATCATATAAAATGTATTCTAATTTAGCATATTAACACATTAATTAGCATATTTTGCATGTGTCAAAAAATAGCAGAGGTGTCACATACAATAAAGAATAACTGTGAGGGGTGGGCCCCCCTCGCCCCCCCCCAAAAAAACCTTGTTTCTACCTGTTATAGTGTTTTACATAGGTTTTAAATACCTATGTATTTGGATAGCTTTTTTTTATATTGATATTGTTTTATCTTTTAGCTTGCCTGTGGTTTTGTGGAACATTAAATGGCATGTTGACTTAGATTAACTTTTACAGTATCTTTGTTATTTGCAGGATGTACAGCTGGGTGATGATGATGTAGATACGACACAAACAGTGTAAGTTATTTATTGTTGTGTTGTTCTTTTGTTAACTATATGGTAAAATCATGCAGTAATACAATGAAAATCAACTGAAGTGAATCCAGGAAACATAATATATAATTTTAATTAGAGACACACTACATGAAAACAGCCAAAAAATTTAAAAGATAAAAACTCTAATGTGTGTTTAATTCAAATGAGCTGAGTACGGGTCATTGGTTAGTGTGTCATATTGTAGATCTAAGGTTCCATGGTTCATGCATTGTTACAAATATAGAGAGAAACAAATGAACCCTGCAGTCTGGGGCTGTGTTAGAAGAGTGACAGTCAAGTCCTACTTTTCTATTAGAGTGGCCCATGAGTTGACAATGAGTAATGTTGACTAGCTACCTTCTCTAATCTGTCACTTCAAAATTAGAGATGACCTATGTAGACACCTATGAACAAAATTCAACAAAACAACAACTAGTTAGTATTTGAAGTCATATAATATCTTAAAATTGGTGTTTTATATAGAAATCTGAGTTCCAATGTTTAACAGCAACCTAATTTGTTAACTTTGATTTCAAAGAGTTCACGGGATCTAAAAATAGATAAGCTAGTTTTTGCTTAGAAATTATTTGAATATGCTTAATTAAAACATGAATATAGTAAATTGTGTAAATAAATATGTTAATATTAACTACATAATTGAACTTTCTGTAATTTTTTGTTTTCAGTGTAGCAGGGTATACTGAGATAATTTTTATTTGTGCTTGTTTTTGGAAACAGACCCTTGACATGTGGAGTATGTCTTGTTAGGTTTTCTGTACTTTGTACACTTCAGTACCTGTGATATATATTTATTGTATTATAAGAATAGTTCCATGAGTCATGTCAGAGAGTTTAAGTGGCTTACACACATTTTGGTCAAATGCATTGTAATCTAGATTAACTTGTACATTTTCTGTTTCAGTCATTAATTTGTGTTGTGGTATAAACATTAACACAAGTTATTGTATAAAACATAACCTGTGCCATGTTTATCATGTTTTAATATAGTGCCAGATAATTTCCAAAATAACATGATTTTATTGTTTAGACTTAAAAATGCAGATGATGGGACAGATGAAACTTGCAAGAAAAAAAGTAAAAAACTCAGCAAAAAGTGTAAGTTTATTAACTACATTCAGTTATCCTTTCTTCTTTTATCTCGGGGTTACAGTATAGTTATAAACAAAAATTAAACTTTGTTTAGCTTAGTTTTTCTTGTGTATGAAATAATACTGAGTTCATTTGTATTATTTCTAAAAGACATAAACTATTTTAGCATAAATCTCTTAAGTAACAACTGAAGATTACTAATTTTCTGTTACAAATGTTACCTGATATATGTAATATAAATACATATTTGTGAATATTGTGATGGTAATAACATTCAGTCACGTTTATTTATTTTGCAGACCAGTACGTGGGATCGAGACTTTGTGAAATTGATGAAGCCATTAAATTCAGTTTAAGCTACACAAGTTTAGTAAGTGGTTTTTAATGTATGGATTTTAGCCTAAGTAAGACTTGTATATAATGTGCATTTCCTAAGTTTATGTACATGTGTGTGCATAATCTTAAAAAAAATAACTAAATTTGCACATTACATATTTTTCATCCAGTTTGAGTTATTGTTAAAAAAAGATGATTAAGAAAAACTTGACTTTTTTTCATCATTTTGTTTTCTGAATAATTTAGAAAGCAAAATAGTAATGTTAATATATTTAAGTAGAAGCAAGAAATAAAATATTTTATACTGCTAATAAATAGAAGCTTAAGAATAAAGTATAATATTAACTTTACAGGATATAGAAGGATGTTTGGGGGCCATGAATGAACTTGATCAGCTTTCTTTATCCCAGGTTATCTTGGCCAAAGAACCAGATATTGTTCAGACTGTGAGGAAAGTTAGTATTGTTTTATATCTAATCAACAGAAACGTAGGTTCTTTGTGTAAACTTGGAAACAAAAGGAAAAACATGTAGAAGGAACTATATCACCTCCAATTTTGTTAGTCAACACTTGAATATCAAAAAACATAATCCATCCATTAGAAATGTAATTCTTAACAATAGCCTTTAAATTTAATGTGATATTTAGATTATGCAATCTACATTATAGAATCATTCACTTTATATATCTAAAAATATTTTCTCTAGTCTTTAGAACAACACTTCTGTTGTTTACATTTCATTAGGTTTTAAAAGTACAGAATTTGCCTAAGTCAAAATTTTGAGTTTTGGCTTTGGAATAATTTCAAAACACTAAGTGAATGCTAGGTAGTGCTATTTGTTTGTCGTGAATATTTTGATTGTAATATGTATATCATATTATAAGTTTCTAGAACAGTCATGTATCATTCTTGTACATATAAGTTTTCTGTTATGTAGTGTATTACAAAACAAGCTTACCTATAATATGTTTTTAGTTTTATTACATAATAAAAAAACATAATATTTCTACTTGCCATTAATAAACTCTTCTAGTGTCGCAAGTTTAAAAACAGTGCTGCCGTCCGAGAAAAGGCTGAGCAACTTTACCAGAAGATTAAAGAATATTTTTCAGTTGAAGAGGGAGAACATTTCAATGTGGTATGTATAGGTGTTTTAGATATTTCAGTCATTTACTTGAAATGATATTTTTTGCATATATATATATATATATAATTTCTCCAAGAATCAGTCCATGTGCATAAAATCACAATTAATTTTATGGTATATTTTTTAGATTTTTGTTATAGGTATTAATGTTAACTTCTGATCAAAGCGAGTTTCTTACATAGATCAGAACTAAAAATCAGCTCAATGATGATTATGGTTAATTAAGTATAAAGTCCTACTTTTAATGATTAGAATGCATTTTTTCATCAGTTAAGTACCTTTACTGTTAGCAGTGTTTTAAGTTCAGCCAGCTTAAGAGAATATTTAAATGTACTGTTTGTTTGTGTTTGCAATTTGAATAACAAATTTTCAGAACATTCTGCTTCAAACTCAAAACTATTTTTTTTAAACATACTCAGATGTTTGAAAAAGAAGTGAAGAAACATCAAGAAGGAGTAGAAGATCTTAAGCAGCATAGTCAGGTTTCTACAACTTGTAAGTCAGTTTTACTTATTTATTCTTTAAATTCACCTTTTGATTGTGAATAAGTGTTAGAAGTTACAGACTGCTTATGGTCAGCAAAGTTTAAATGCTTGATGCTTAAGAAAAGTGACCTTTATTCACTGCTTCAGTCCATACATCTTTCTGTTTTTGGTTTATATTTGTAAAGAAACTTACTATCCCTTGAAAGTATAATTATATATATGTGTGTGTAATTGTTATATTCTACAGTAACTTTGATGTCTCAAAAATAGCATAACAATTAACAATATTTCTTTTGTTTTGGAACATCCCACAAGTGTGTGAAATAAACTGTTGTATAATGAATTATTGAATACCAAAGGTGTGGATAGGAAGACGACAGACATTCTCTATGCGTAGTTGCTGATATGTAAATTTTGCTTTATTCACATATTTCAAAACCTTCAGTTCAAGAGCATCTTGTGTTATGGGCTTGATACTAATTTTTTAGACGCACGGGGCAGGTAGATTTTGTTTCTAACTTGCCTGATTTTAACCCTTTCATGACCCATGAATACCTTTTGTGTCAAGTTTCAAACTTGAAGTAAAAATTATAATTCAACTATTTTAAACTCATAAATAATTTAGAATTGATATTTTATCATTTTTTTAACAATTGAGTAATTTGCAAAGAAAAATATTTTAAATGTTCCAACTTTTCGTACTGTGCAGATCCAAGGATGTTTGTCTGTAAACAATACATTTATTGGTGATTATTACTTTTTAAATTTTTCTACTTATCACAAAATATAGGTTTATATTTGTAAAGAAACTTACTATCCCTTGAAAGTATAATTATTAATGTCTTGTTTTGCACCTGTTCTTCCTTCTCTGTTAGTGGTTTTATTATTACTGCTCTTCATTGCCAGTATTTTTTGATGTTATACCTATGGTCTGAACAATTACTAATGAAACTCGACTATAAACAACTTCTAAATATGATTGGATAGAGCAGATTTTTAACTATTAATGTCAGTGTAGAGTAAATAAAATGGTTTGAACAGTGATTTATAGTTTTTAGAATTATTGACTAGCTAAAGCTTCTGTAGTGATGAACAAAGGAACCTGATGGGAAGTTTAGGCTTTCATGTTAAATTATACCTGTTTGAAAGATACAGAAACTTTCCTTTATGACAAGACATCAGGTAAACTTAGTTAGATTTAGTGAGCACAGTAGACAATGGCAAAATATTCTAATGACTGGAATTCTTAATTATTAAAAAAAGGATTAGATACAAACTGATCTCAACCAAGAATGGTGATGTCATTTTGAAATCTGAAGTTATAGGTTACCGTTAAATCTTTATCCATTTTTGCAATGATTTTTTTTCTTATTTGTAGCTGGAACCAGTAACTACTACAACTGACAAAGTTTATATATTTACAGCTTCCTCAAACATTTGACAATCTAACCTATTCAAGTTTCTCTAGCATATGGTTTACACTTACCCTGAAAAATATCCCACATGTCCAAAGTGCCCATCTGTTGCTCATAGAAGTCCATTTAACTTGTTTTTACTTAAGGTTGATATTAAGAATAAAAGAAATTCATCTCACTCATCAAAAAGTATGCATATATTGAGGCTGTTTATTCAAATGAGTAATAAAAAAAAAACTTGCCTCTCGATCACTATGAAAATCACTCAGGGTGATGACACCATCTTTGTTAAGATCTGTGAAAAATTCCAGATTGTCAGTGACCCATTGCGATAGGGTTAATGCATTTATTGAGAACCAACATTTCATTATTGATTAAAGCAGTGTTTTTCAAACATTAAATAGCAGCCCCACCAACTCAGCGAAGTTTCTGTTGTGCCTTTCCTCCCTCCGCTTCACATTAAAATAATTTTCACAAGTGATAACAGCAAAATCAACATTCTCTTTGCCTGTTTTTTTATTATAAAAAAATTTTATGTAAAAATGCTTGTAAGGAATGAGTAAATGAGAGAGCAAAAAAACTTTGAGAGCAAATTGATAGTTTGGTTAAGTTATCGTCATCTCCAACCCTTCTGTTACTTCCGTCATCACTTTTGGGCTCTCCTGCCAAAAGGCCATGCTCCTTCCCAATGAGGAGGGGGTGCCGACATTTTGGAAAATACTGGATTAAAGCACTTGTTACAAACACAGTTACTTATGAGTCTATATAAATGATATCTGATAATCACAATTGTAAAAACTAAATATTTTTTAAATACCAATTAAAACAACATTCTTTTAAAAGATGGCATTTTGCTAGAAACTCAGTAGTTTATAATACTGAACATTGCACAGAATTATGCACAAATGGATTAATATAAACAAATTTATGGTATCAGATATATTTATTTTATACTTTTTTACCACTATTTCATATAGAAGCACGAAATAACTATGTTAAAATAAGAATTAATTAAAGCATTTGCTGTCAAAAAACATTTTTCGACAGAACATAAACAATATGAAATATCTTACATCAAAGAAACTAACAAACAGTTTTCAACAAGATTCAAGTACCATTTGAAAGCTCCCTTTTGTGTATTTGAACACATTTAAACATAATCACTCCTTTGATTTTTTATATGTTACTATGACAAAGAGAACAATAGAAGTCATAGATAAATTAAAGAAGCTTACTTTACCAATAAACTAAGATTAATATATATTTGTGTACAATTATATTTATTTTAATATATTGTTCTTACTTATCAGATGTTTATTCCTATCATGCTGTTGTTTAATGACATAATGGGATTACTGATATTATAATGTGACAGTCTTGAACTATTTTAAGCTTCCATTCAAAGCTCTTAGCAAAATCTATTGGTGTGAGAAAAACAACAACTTTTTTTGCCTTTGTCCCTGTTTATCCATAATATACAGTACTGATAGTATTGGTTTTAGTGTGCAAGGTATGCGTTTAATTATTAATTTGGTATCTTAATTAATTATTTAATTATTAATTTGGTATCTTAATTAATTAGCCATTTCATCAGGTACACTAAGCAGATTTTGTAATGTCTCCAATTTAGAAGGACTGTTTGCAAAAATTAATTGAAATATAATTTAAAGATCAAAGCATAACATAAAATGAATGATAATTCAAAGATTTTGTTTTTTATGTGTATATTTCATGAGTTTCTTTGGTATTTTCATTATTGCTTTGTTTTATTTACAAAATGTATTATTATTAATAAGGGACATGAAGTTGATTCTTACACTGCTTCTTGTAGTGAATTCTTCCAGGACAGACATGCACAGCAGAGTTAAAAGTCCAGCTCAGCGACAAACAGATGCTCATACAGAGAATAGTGGTGCAGGTTGTTTGACAGATCCTACTCGCAGTGCTGAGGGAAAAGGTAACAAGGAGCTCGCAGAAAGTCTCACAGCTGGTGGAGAAGAAAAAAATTTATCTGTAACATCAACAACCACCACAAATAAAGCAGTCTCTTAAACAGCATTTGTCATCTCTGCATAAAAAAAAACTTTTAAAATTCTTCCCAAATTATTGTCGTCAGTATTTTATTTATATTTGTAGATAAAAAAGTGTCATCATGTCCGTGGGACTTTTTGTACCAGTTATTACCTAAAGAAGTTTGTGCAATTTCTATAAATGCAGATGTAGAGTCATATTCCCAGAAACCTTGTTACTGTACAACTTGTCATAAATGTTCAATAGTATCTACATTTCTTCTAACTGGTCAGTTTACATCAGCCACAAACACCTTTTGTTAAATAAGACAAAAAATGTCTATTTCACATTTTTGGAAAGTATTTTACAGGGAAATGACTAAAGCTACTTAAAAAAAAGGAATTGTAATTTGAATGAATATAAGAATTGGATCAATAAACATTTGATGAATGCTGAATAAACTGTAATAAGCCAAAGACTCGCTGAGTCTTCATTACAGTTTTTATGAAAACGTTAGCCAGAGAAAAGCATTAGCTCAATAAAAACATTTTCTTGTAATGTGTAGACACCAGCCTGTACTTTCATAGTTGTCTTAAAATATATATATATATATATGTATATTCAAGTTTAGATGTTGCCATCTTGAATTATGAATGACCATTTAATTTCTAAAACATGCTCATCCTTCTCTTTATAAATCTGTTTAAGAAAATGTTTAGTAAAAATTACAGCTGTATGAACTATAAATACAAGTTTTCCAAATTCATTTTTTTTCATCTAAGTGTAAAACCCGAGCAATTTTTACAACCATATCGACTGTTAATGTGATTCTAAGCAGAAGCTTCCTGTTTATTCATTCCAACTTTTTCTTTAATCATGATTATTAATAACCTCTGTTGTAATTTCCTATGATATTGAACTTGTGTTATAAATTTTTATCCCACCCATATTATGAGTAAAATTAATTTCTAATGCACACAATCAGCTTTTAATCTAACTTTAAACGTAACAAATAAAATATGATAGTCACTACTACAATTTTTTTGTGGATCCCCAGTACAAAGTTCACTGCCACCAACTATAACCTAAAATGTTTTAGATACTTGCAAGTATTATGTAGTAAAAGTCTAAAATTCATTGACTCATTTTCGGTATAAAAAGTGTTCTATAAACCAACTAAGGTATAGTTACTGAAAAAGAATACTTCTCACTTTAAAATTAAACACAAAATATGGTTTGATAACATAAAAGTTTTTGCTAAAAAGTAAAAATATATCTGTGTCTAGTTTGGGGTGTGGATATTAAGAAATATATGTGGATAAACATCCTTTAGAATATAAGTTTATAATTCACTTGAATAAAAGTATATTTCTTAAATAATTAATTCCATCTTACAAATGAAATTGAATTTATTGATAGTCAAGTTATGGATGGAAAATACTAATAATTATTTCCTGAAGCATTGTACTACAAACGTTTTATGTAGTAAACTGATGCATTTAAATAGAACTTTTACTAAATCATTTTATTTTGTAGGCTTTGCTTATGATACAGTTTACCTTTGCTTATCATTATGTTTACTAAAACAAAATTGTATTACATTCTGAAGCATTTAGTGAGTTCTTTTTTCAGTCTTCTCTTGAGCATATATGTACAGCAAGCACTGAAAAACGTATTCTTTATTAGTTTGTATTTTTCAATGTTAATAACAGATTCAACTATATGTAATCATGTTGAAATGGTGACTATAGAATGCTCAAAAGATTTGGTTTTTCGTGAGTTGTTAACTCTGGCCAATTATGTGAGGCTTGAGATTATTGGTAAAAAAAAATGTGCTCATAATTTCACTGTTAAATCTCGGAGTGCAGGATTTTTTATCAAAATGTTGTTGATTTATTGTGTATTCAGTTGCCAGAAATTATATGTATCCCATTGTTTACTATTTACATATATCAGGTACATGTTAGATTTTGAAATTAATCTATATGAAAAATTATAATTATGTTGCTATTGTGCTTATTTTTATTTCAGCTATCATCAATGATGATGTAAAATAATTGTTTTATAATGATATATTTATTGCATGTTGCATGTGGAATTTATTTTGTAGGACCTGTCCCTTTGCTATTACATGCAAAGATTGGACATAAAATTGCACAACTTTCCTGTATCAATAAAGCATTATCATGCTGCAAATGGAGTTAATTGTGTGTTTTGTATTTTACTGTAGATAAGCTAGTAATTTTTTTAATATTATTTTACTTTTTAATATATTACTGTAACTGTAGGTAGAAGAAAATATATATATAAAGTAATATTCTTTAAAAAAATTTAATAAAAATTAGATATTGTGTCTTAACACAGCCCTATAAAATGTTTAAAATGGATTAATAGTTTTATCACACATAAACCATGTTAATTTTTAATTAATTTTTGTCATAAATTTTGATAATTATTTAGTGTGTGCTCAGTGTTAAAATTAACACCATAAATAGTGAATAGAATGGATTTCTGAGTGAAGATGCTTAATGGATCTATCTTTCGAATATTTAATAGCAGGTTTTGGTACTGCAGTTACAACACACAAATAATGACAACAAAATTAATATTTTTGGAAAAACTATGAAATTTAACTCTTACAGAAATAAATTTTTACCCTACATAGATTTCATATAAGATCCATTACTCTTTCAAAACTATTGTTGTTTTGTGTATAACTATTTGTTTTGCAACGGTTAATGTAGTATCAGTGTAGGATTAGAAGTAATTATTGAAAGTGAACCAATGTTTCTGAATATAAATATTTTTTTACATTTAAACAGTAGATTTTAATGTTATCTTGTCTCGAACTTTTAGGTTAGTGAATTATTATTATTACAGCCCCCTAGTGGTACATCGGTATGTCTGCGGACTTACGGCGCTAGAAACTGGGTTTCGATACCTGTGGTGGGCAGAGCACAGATAGCCCATTGTGTAGCTTTGTGCATAATTACAAATAAACAATTATTATTACGTTATAGTTATAGAAACAAGAAATAATTGCTTTGAAAAGAACTCGTTACAATCAACTGTGAGACTTCACGTGATTAAGCAAAATTTAAAGTGTTTCTTGATTATTGTTGAATTTTCGAAAATTTTAATTAAAACTGGAAAGTCATTGTGTAATCGGTGTCAAAATTAAGAAAAAATTCGAAACGATAAATTACAAGGGAATGCAAATTTTGGTTTTACATAATAGTTTCGCGTTCTGTAAACAAATCCTTATCTGTAAAAGTTAAAGCTTGCTTCTCGATTCCAGTTGGATTTTAAAAATCCTCAACTGCAAATAATGAAAGAGCCCTTCGATAAAATTTTTGCGACGGGTTAAATGAAAAACAATCCAATGCAAAATTCGTTGTTACCGAATGCCGAAGTAATCTGTAGAGTTTAAGCGTTTTAGATAACAGTGGAATTGGAAGTTTCTTGTTACTTTACGTTCAGAACAACGAGTAAAGCAAGAGGAATTTAGGTAAACTTTAAATGTTCATTTTACTTACTAAATAAGCCTCCCAGTGGCTCAGCAGTATGTCTGCGGACTTACAACGCTAGAAACAGGTTTTCGATACCCGTGGTGGGTAGAGCACAGAAAGCCCATTGTGTAGCTTTGTGCTTAATTCCAAACAAACAAAAAATTTACTAAATAAAGTACAAAACATCTACTATACAGCAGTACGAGAAGGTTACCCCCCTAGTGGCACAGCGGTATGTCTGCGGACTTACAACACTAGAAACTGGGTTTCGATACTCGTGGTGGGCAGAGCACAGATAGCCCATTTGTGTAGTTTTGTGCTTAACTTCAAACAACAACAAGGTTAGAAGTTCTTTTATAGAGGTTTGTACGAGGAGAAAGCTCATTTCATCTGTATTGTGTTTTGTCCTTCACGCATATCCTACTTATCTACACATTCATTTGTTGCTTATTAAGAACTTCTGTTAAAAGTAAGCTTGAAAGATCAGAGCTAAAATTATTAAATAATTAACAAATATTTAATGAAGGTAGTTCTATATAAAAGTAGGCTATAGGTGTGTCATGATAAATATACCATAAAAGTAAAACCCGAATGAATAGAATGCACTGAATCGTCATTTAGGTTCTCTGGCTATTAACAAAGCAATATTTTCAGCAGCTTGATCAGTAAACTTATAGTTCGGTAGGGGATAGGATAGTTAAAGTCGGGTTAGTTGTGTTTGTTTTGTAAATTATTTTTTAATTTTTACAATTAAGCTGGTTGTTTTAATTGAAATATTAATGTTTTTATTGCTCAAAGACGTGCCCCCCACTGGCACAGCGGTATGTCTGCGGACTTACAACGCTAGAAATCGGATTTCGATACCCAACGGCAGAGCACAGATAGCCCATTGTGTAGCTTTGTGCTTAACTTCAAACAAACTCAAAGACTTTTACATATATATATATATATATAAACATTGTTCTTTTTTTTTTTGGTATTTGTACTGTCCCGCTTCTGCGCGTTTCAACATTCCAATCACACAAAAATCCATAAGCGCTGCAGCAGATAGCTTGACCGGTATGTCTTCATATGGAATAACATGAATACCTCTTTAATTTTTCAGGTGTGTCACAGTTGAACAAATATGTCATAGAGGCAACCTGTGTACACTTGACTTGTATCACGTTTCCAGATGGAGATCCTTCTTGATTGTGTTGTGTACTGTTGCCTGGAGTAAGTGTACGGCATATGTCACTGTTCTTAGTGCTCGTGTATTATCCACTATTACAAGATGACGCACTTTGCTTACCACAACTTTGGTATGACTTGTTGCATGTTTCTTTCTGGATGGTCCTGACTTCCAAAACTGGTTATATTCCTTTGCTTTCCAGTGGCATTAAGAACAAGATATCCCAGTACTGAAAATTCTAACTCCTCAGTCTGAATATATCTTTTCGTATAGGACCATACAAACATGGGCGTTCGCAGAAAGTTTTCCATGGGAAATTGTGAATTGAATAAAAAATGCATATACATACGCTGAATGAATAAAGAAAGAATTATATTTCTAATTTTCCAGGTGGGGGCAAGTGCCCCCTGCGGACGCCCATGCATACAAAGGGTAGTGTGAGCGGTGCACCTTCACACAACGCTGACCCATATGTGGCAGCGATAAGTCGACGCTGATTAACTAATATGTGTATATGATCTTAATGTATAATGCATTGTTAATAAAAAAATATATAACATTATGTTGTCTTGTAAATCATTAGATAAGATTAGATTTTTGAGGAGGGGGACAGAATTTGTATTTTACACAGGGCACCATCAGTGACCGATAAAGCTCTGATTACATACTTTTCCCAAAAGATCAGTTTTCAGTGGCATCAAACTACCTACCAAACGCCAAATAATGATAAAATGTAGTTCTCATACACCTGTTCCACCATGAATTTATATCAGCTGTGGTTGCTACGTAACTTGATGTATTGCATATTCAAATCATTTTAATATAATGTACTCAACCCTCTGTTATGCTTATTTATTGGGCTGTACATGGGCTAGTGTGCATAGACTGTGAACCCCAAAAATTATGGTTTGCAGCCTATTGCACTTTAGGACTGAGGTTGTGCCATAAAAGCAGGTGTGAATCCAGGATTTTCACTTGGGAGGTGCCAGTTTAAATCACATGACTTTCATGGCACTTTACACTATTGTGGTATTTTCAGGTCAAACTGATTTCCTCTAGAGCAATAAAATATACCTTCAGAATAAAAGAAAACTCTGCCAAAATATTTATTATGAGGTAATTCTTAGTTATATAAGTAACTGAGTTTATGAGATAGAAATAAAAAGACTATACAAAACTACAATGAGCAATCTTTGTTTAAGCACAAACACAATAAGTATACTTGCTTGATATGACAGAAGGTCGCTTTTACTGGATCTAGATTATTTTCTATCTGGGCCAGGTGGATAAGGCCCTCGACTCGCAATCTGAGGGTCGCGGGTTCGAATCCCCGTCACACCAAACATGCTCGCCCTTTCAGCCGTGGGGGCGTTATAATGTGACGGTCAGTCCCATTATCGTT